TCTTAATTTGTTTATTTTGTACTGATTTCTGTTTTGAAGGATATTGTAATGTTCGTGGGTTTAACAAAATCAACTTCCAAAACTGATAACGACAAAAACTATTTATTTACACTAATTATTAAAGAACTTAAAAACTCTGTTAAATTATTATTAAACTCACTGCTATCATTGTCAATTTATTTCTCGATTCTCTTCTGCAACGGTCAGTTTATTTCTCCTTTTTTGTCGGCGATCGTCTCTTCCTTAAAATACTCTTTTGTTTACTTTCGGGAGCCTTCTCGAAACATCCAGATAGTTCTTTTTTTTTTTGAACTGTTTAACTGCTTTCCCAGAACGCAGGTACGACACACACATTTACAAATACGGCGCACACGAAGAAGGGCGCCCGCGGCTAGTCGGCGATTCGATAAGCCGTTCACACACGCGTGTGCCCGATCGCACACAAACACACTCGTGCTCGCTACAATATGTTTACGATCAGAAGTATTGTCTTCTTGAAGGGTGTTTAGGTTGTTCTGATTCTGTCTAATTATATGATTAAAATTTACGTAACCAAAGAACACGTGTATGATGTCAGGACGATTTTCCGGCTATTTATCAAGAGTTGTTCACCGCTTTCTAGCAACGCCTTTAATTTTCCGGAATTTTTAAGTATAACTTCATTGACAGAACTTTTATGATTTTAGGGCATTGTTTTGCATTTCCTGAGAAAATTGGCTGAAATGAATTTGTATAGGATATGAAAGTTTGCTTTACTTTTCTTTATATATACTATTCTTTTATTTTACAATAAAACTAGAATTTTTCTTTTTATTCCTAGTAAAACGAACATTTGTTTACTTTTCCTTCGGCTTGTTTGCCCATGAAACGAACGCGATGAAATTGACGTTTCTTCCGTATCTTCAACTTTTCTGTTTTCTAAACCATTTGCATTACTAAAATTTTTGATGCCTGGCTTTTAAATTAAATCCGTTTAGGCTAGTGTCTCAGCCTTTATTAATTTCTCATAAATAACCCCATTGTCTATTAATTTTAAGGTATGGGTTTTCAGTAATCTATTTATTTTGTAGTAAGGTACCAATAAACTGATGTTTTAACACATCCATCGAGTTTAGTTATTAAAATTTAAATCTAAATTTTATTGGCATGTGCGAAATCAGAAATATGCTACACAGTAAACCTTAACAGTTTTACATCTTTAATACATCTGTGCAAGGTTAAAGATACAAAACTGCGAAAAAATTTTATCGTTAAATAATTCTTTTAGTTTTGCTAACTGCACTTACTTTGAATATGTTTATCGAGCAGCTCATCGATTTGACTTGAAACTAGTATCGGTAGGTTTGATGGGACATCGTCAACTTGGGTGGCATTTAGGATTGACGCGAACTTGTGTGTCTACGTTTATTTCCAAGCATAAAGACTATTATTTATGGTCATTAAATGTAATTGACACTCATTTAGAAATAACATAAAATTAATAAGGTCGTCACTGAGAACAAAAAGACAAAAATGCTTGTAGCTTTTTAATTGATTAGATAAAAGGAATGGGGTAATTTTAAAATGGGTTTGATAATTCTTTTAGAATAATTGTTAGTTGCGATTCGAGGGAGACTTAAAATATTTATATTTAAAAAAAAAATTGAAAATCAGGTATATTATCAATAATGTTTCACAACGAGAAGGCATGACTTTGAACGTTACTTCTTTCCTTTATAGAAAACTAGGTTTTATCCGCAGCTTCGCCCGCGTTGATGTTTCTATCCCTTAGGCACAGTATTTCCTTCTGGATAAAAGGATTAGATTAGATTTCTAAAATTGCATTTAATTTTTATTTCATGTATCATGACGGTGATCGTTCTACGACTTAATTAAATATGAAATTGTCTTAAAGTTTTTGCGAGTATAAATCAAACGTTAGCAAGGACTTCGGAATGACTGTTCCCTCTTTAGCTGCGTGTCCGCGGCTTCGTCCTCTTGGAATTCAGTCATAATTTATTTCCATTTTTTCCGTATTATTATTATTTGGAAATCAAACTGTATACTGTAACTTAATCAACATCCTCTTTTAAAGAAATACTCATTTACATACCATGAAGACAAAATCCTCCAGAATATCAAGGAGAGTAATTTAAAAAATCCTTAAAATTCTGGACGATTCTGTTGCCATTATATGTAAATGAATATTTCTATAAAAGGATGTTGGTTAAGTTGCCAAGTTAACGCAACAATTGCCTTGAGAAAGATCCTAAACAGGTAGCGAAACATTGATGGATGCTAAATAAAAACCAGTAGATATACATCTGTTAAGTTCAGAGTTTGATTGTTACAACTTTTTTTATAGAAAACATTCATATACCTCTTATACTCTTAAAAAACATGTTCGTAAGAAACGTATTCACTCGATGGTTTTCCATCGACTTCGTTGTAAAATTGGTTTCCACGAAAAGCACTTTTGTTTTAACGGAATAATATTGCACAGCCTATGTGCACCCTGAAGGTCCATTCTCAATAATAGTGAAAGAATTTTTGCAATTGGATGATAGTCTTTCATCAATCGATTAGGCTGTCTAGTCGTGTCTTCCATTTTTTTCATTCATTACAGATAATTAATTAATGCTGTGCCTCATAAATATATAAGGGGGCTTCTCTTTCATAAGATTATTTTTTTATAATTTTAAAAAATTCGAAATACATCATACTGAAAATTAAGCACCATATCACTAATTAAATTAATGAACTGATGTCGTCCTGATTTGGGTCCAAAGGTGGTCGTCGGTTGCAGTTGCTTCAAGCTTCTTAAGAGGTCTCCATCTCCGACACTAGATCTGACATTTAGACCCGAATCAGGACAGCATTAGTTCACCTAATACTTGCCGCGAAAGACTTTACCAATCGTAAAATTAAGTATGCAGTATGTATCTATGATTGTATAATTATTATTGTCTAACATGACGGAAAAGAAAAGGTTAGAACCGTTCGAAATGTGGTGTTACAGACGAATGATGAGGATACCGTGGATAGACAAGGTTAGAAATGGAGAGGTATTAGAGAGAATAGGAGAACAAAGGACCCTATGGAGGTCACTAAGAAATAGGCGAGAAAGGTTAGTACGACACTTTCTCAGGCACGAAGGTCTAGTCAGAAACATATTAGAGGCAGAAACGGAAGTTAGGAGGGGTAGAGGTAGACCTAGATTAGATTACTCTTCGCAAATAGTTAAGTATGTGGGTTGTTCTAGTTTTAGGGAAATGCGAAGATTAGCTCAGAATAGGAAAGAGTGGAGATGCGTGTCTAACCAGTCTTAGGACTGACGACCTTATGATGATGATGACGACAGTCGTGATACAGAATAGCTTATTCTATAAGAATTGAAGACAAGAAAATTGACGATTTATTTAAGTACCTACTAGGTATTATTTTATTCCTCTATTTAACTATCTTCTATAAAAAATAAACGATAAACAATTTGTACCTTTGTTCAAATTTTAGACCCGAACTTCGATTTTTAAGTCCGGCACTGTCATTGACTCTGTTGAATGATTTTGGATTACGCAGATACAATGGAAATTCTCGGAATGTTGTAATTTAAGTAATATTTTTTTTTTAAGTTAATCTATTAGTTCTGTTGACAAATTATGGAATATAATGAGTAATGTAGAATGTCCTTAAAAATAAAATATCAAAATAAATAAATAAAATAAAAAGGTAAATCCGGGTTGATGGACCGTGATCGAAAGAACTTGTACTTAGATCAGGCTGGATCTACCTCTGCGTCCATTTTATTCCGACCGTGAAATCCTGCGCCATTACAATGTCCTTAAAGTTCAAGGTTCTCGAATTCAAATAACTACTCTATTGACTTGTTACCTTACAGTGGAAACTGCAGAAATTTTATGAATATGCATTTGAATATTGTTAGTTACTGTACTTGTTTGTCAAAGGATTTTTGATTATAATGGAATTTCCAGGAACATCTAGGACAACAATCTGTTGCAAGTGACAAAAACAGTCTTATTAATGAGGCAGTTAAGCGGATGGATATTTTAAGAGTAGGAGAATAGAGAAGCGCTATGGAAGTCGGTAACAAATAAGCGAAATAGGTTGGTAGGACACCTCAGGAGTGAAAGACTACTTAGAGTAATATTATAAGCTGAAATAGGAGTTAAGAGGTAGACTTAAACTAGATTATTGTTCACAAATGTTTAAGGATATGGGAATACTAATTTTAAGGAAATGTGAAGATTAGCTCAGAATAGAAATAAGTGGAGGTGCTTGTTCAACTAGTCTTAGGTTTGACGACGTTATTATAGCGAAGACTATTCTTAGTCACAGGGAAGTTACCATATTTGGTTATTGTAATGGGTCCGAAAATCAACATGGTAGAGGTGCCGATGGAACATTAATATGATCGAAAGAAATTCAACAACAAAAACGCTGCAAAAAAGTAGATTTGGGGAGTAATTTATTTATATTTTGAAATCCAAGAAAAATACAAAGGCTAACAAAAAGAAAGAAAATTTATTTATTACTTTATATTGGAAAGTTATCCATGTGGGCTTCAAATGTCAATCCTTGCTATCAATGCTCTTATTAGAATTGTTTCCACCGGACGGCTTCATTACGAAGAATATGTAGTGATAAGCACCCTGTTGAAACTGTGTTTTTAAAATACTTCAATGAGAATGCTCCACTAAAAGTATTTCTGAATTTAACAACGAAACCGATGAGTTGGTAAAAGTATAGAACTGAAGTGATAGTGTTTTGGTATCGGTGGTATCTTGTACGTCAGGATGTAACTTCAACGTTAGTAAATAATCGCTAATCGGTCATCGAAATAGTATGAAGTGGCGTGCGTGGGAGTAGAGTGTGTAGTTAACCGTGGCCGCGGTCGGCGGCCAATTTGAAAACGAACTACGTCCGGATCTGTGGCGAAGCCACGTTTTACAGGTAAAGGTGTGTCCCCCACTCTCAGTACAGGTTGCGATACCTACCAGTGGAGTTAATATTAACGGCTGTGTAGACTACGTTGCAACCAACGGATTTTGCCGCCGCAAGTGCTCGATTTTTGCTCGAAAACACGGGAAGAAAACGGAATTTCCACTTGCAAACGTTGGAACGCGTGTGTCATCGTGAAAGTGTCCAGTAAAAAGTTCGGGAAGCGGTCGAATAGTTGTCGCAATTTAATGTATGTACGTATAACAAATATTCTTCTGTTCAGTTGTTCGTTTCGTTGGTTGGCTAACGCTGCAAAAGCCAAGGCACGATTTTCGTAGTTGTGATCCGACCTCGAACATCAAATTCCATCGCATCGTGAATTACACGGCGCGTGTATTTCCTTCGATAGTGCTGTTACTTCTTCAGCGCACCTGTGGTGCTTACTACTTTTTATTCTTCACATCCATCGTGTTATTCAAAATTGCGGTTCCTCTTACTATAGATACATCGCGCCGGTCAACTTCCCTCTCATTTTCTCTCTCTCAGGCTCTCGCACACGTTTTGTTAACGTGCCTTCTTCTTCGAGTGATAAGTTTGACAAGGTGCTTTTTTGAACATTTTGAATCATCCAAACACGTCCTCGCTTCTTGTGTTTGTTTATTGTGAGCGTCCGTTAACCGTTTTACGTTCGAAATGTGAATTCAAACGCTAGTGTCCGTTGCGCGAAAGCGTGTCTTCTAAAGTTGGGCAAGTTGTTTTTTATAGTTGTTGTTTTGTTGTTGTTGTTATTCTTTCTTCTTCTTGTTGTTGTGCGGTGTTGTTCTGTGCCGTACCCTTTGGATCGTATTACTTCGCTTTTAATCGGATTACAATACTTTCACGTGTCTCATCTGGATTATACCAGTAACTGTTACTGGACTACAGGAAAATTGCTCTTTGTAAAGGTAAGACTCCAAACTATTATTAGATATTAGAGAGTAACAATATTAGCTCATGAAGCTTCCAAAGGCTTCAAGTTTCCAAGTTTCTGGTTCATTTAAATTAGAAATTTTTACACTGTAATCAATTTCTCCACGTCAGAATATTGTTCTTCATTAATTCGTAGCTTAATTGGTTCCTACTTCCCAAAACAGTTTCTCTATTAACCTTTTCCCGTCTTCTTCAGGTATTATCTACTTTATGACCTGTTTTATACTATCGATAAATACACAGGTATATTGTCACTGTATCGATACGAATGTCCAATTATTTAAAATGATTTTTTATACAATGGGCGGATTTCTATTAAATTTGTTTCTTGAGGTGATCACCTTTTTGAAGTAAACATGTGAGACATACCTAGTCCCAAAGTGTTGTCGAGTACCTACATGTAATGTAACTCTCGTTCTTCTTCCTGCTACTCGTGAAACCCTCAGAAACAAAAGAGAGGAACAAAAGTTTAGAAAGAGGCTGCTTAAAGTGGGGCCCTCCTAGCTGCAAAGAATGCCAAGGAACTCGAGAAGCCGGCGATAAAGACGTGACTCTTGAAACTAAAGTCAGACGTCAGTGACAAATACTAGTTGAAATATGAAGTGGATGAGATGAAGCTGATGATGAGAGGAAGGCATGAATTTCCGGAAGTACCTGACTGTTGTCTATCCTTCCTGTGAACAATATGCCGTCTATTATCAACTTTGATCAAGAATATGTTAAGATGATGTTATCAGATAGTAGAGTAGTGGGTGATTTATCCAATTCAAAAAAGTAATGATGACTTGAAACATCTTATATTTACGCTTTCTTTATGACTATTACAAAATTATTATTGTTGCTAAATTTACAATTTACCTTATCTTATTAGATACGAAATTTTTACTATCGTATGCGTGATTATTACTATTTGGGGTTGATGGTGCACCTTAGCTTATGACTCACTACAGGAAAAATTGCTTTACTGTCAGTCCCTTGCCGGCAATCGAACCCTGGTTTTACGTACCCCAGTAGCACAACAATATTGGTAAAATATTATATTTACATATTGGTGCAATGATGGAAACGTCAGATTTTTTTTTATTGGCCCAATGTAGATTTTTAATATTAACCCAATATTGAAATTAAATATTGTTCCAATGTTAGGAAATAATAAATGTGCAATATTTATTTGAAAAATACAGCCAATATTTGTTTTCCAGATTGGTCCAATATATGTTTTATATATAGTCACAATATATCATGCATATGTAGGCACAATATCTACCCCAGTACCACAAAAATATTGGTAAAATATTATATTTACATATTGGTTCAATGATGGAAACGTCAGATTTTTTTTTATTGGCCCAATGTAGATTTTTAATATTAACCCAATATTGAAATTAAATATTGTTCCAATGTTAGGAAATAATAAATGTGCAATATTTATTTGAAAAATACAGCCAATATTTGTTTTCCAGATTGGTCCAATATATGTTTTATATATAGT